ATTTCGAAATGTCAGCATCATGGCAGATTCGCGTGGAGCTCCTCGCCAAAATAAACGTAGAGCTAGCAGGAAAAAATGGCATTAATGTGGTATAAAACCATAAAAACCGCACGATCAGCGGCAGTATCAACCTGGAAACAAGTCGTCTTTTTCCATTTTCATTGCATTATATCTAAAAAGAATAAATAATATAAAAATTCAGTGAGATAAGAGTGTCGGAGTTGGGATGAATGGAATTTTAAATGCCCTGAGTTTTTTTTATGTGAGTGTTATTATATGGGTATTAATTGGAATCTAGATGAATACAGTTCTAATTTAGTAAATATTATATTAATATATCAAAATAAAAATGATTTACTTCAAACTCTATAAAAAAGCTAGCGTCCAAGTGATACTCACTTGAAAACCACTCACAAAAGATTAAACTTTAAACTCCAGTAATGTTATTTGGGCTTTATACACGGAATACTCCTATAATTATAATATAATAATAAATATAACATAATTAAATATACAAAATAGACAAAATTCTGTCATTTACCAAGTATATCATAAATTTCAAATAACTCTTACAAAGTGAATCTGTGGCTTGACGTGCCAAGATACAGATTCACCGACTTACGTTGCTCACATTTAGTGCCATTTTGCTCTCACTAGATTTCTTTATAATTCTTTTCTTCTTTGCAGTATGTTTTGACTTTTTATAGCTTCAGCAACGACATTGCACATTTATGCTTACTTACATATAGAAAGAGTGCACTTGGAGGCACTTTAAAAATGGCGAACTCTGGCCATAAAATCGTTGACGGGCATTCGTCAAAATTGATGGGCAGGGCCCTACATCGGGACCAGCTGCCTTTGGGCTTATCGGGCCAACACGTTTTGTCTTTAAACGTTTCGCAGCTACCAAGCTGGACCAAGGTACCATGGAATTGGGACTTGGCACCATGGAGCATGGAGCTGAGGTCCTACGAAAGGCTGCTGGAAGGAACACCCATTTAACAAGTCAACCCGTGCAGGCAAGACCATAAATATTGGCAATTTAACAGAGTCAACAGTATGGCACTCGACTGGACTCCAACTGAAGTTGGCCCAAAGTATCCAAAGGGGGTCCAGAGCCTGGAGGGGGAGGACTGGGGATTCAGGATTGGGGGTCCATAATACACCTTGTCGTACACGATCCTTATCTCTTGGAATTTCTCGTGCGTGTCTGGCGTGCCAAAAAATATAAAAATAAAGCACAAGGAACCTACATCACTTAATTGAATACCAACGAATGCTGAATGAACTATAATAAAATATATAAGATTTGCCTTAGGAATATATTATGACTAGTGAATATCTATAATATCACTGAAGAAATCATTCAGTTTATGTTGCTTAGCGTTCTTATTCATTTAAAAATTCCTAAAACCTACACATGAGATTTCTATATTCCTCCAAAAAAAAGAGGAACAAAGACCACAAAGTAAGAATGATACCCTTGGTGGAAGCTCTGGGCCAGTGATAGCCTGGTCAGGAGCTGTCGCTGTCGGTTGCCAACTTTGGCAACGGGAATGGGAGTTCGGAATGGGGGGGAACGGAGTCCGCGTGAAAAATTAGCAGTGGAAATGCGTGTTGTGGTTGTTGTTTTTATGGTGTTGTTTTGGTGGTGTTGTGGCCTGTCGCCATTTCTCTTGGTGCGACTAATAAGCACAACAAGCTCATAAAATTTCGAAAGCTGCGCAGTCTGATTTTATTTCATTTTAAATTGTACACGCGCTTCAAGCATTTCCTTAGCTTAGTGTGAGATATTCGGGCATTGGAGGGGAGTGCCATGGATTTAGCATTTACACGCATCATTAGAGCTTGTTGTACAACGGCGACTTAATGATAAATTAATAACAATGCCAGAACATAAAAGACAAGCTTTCTATTTCAATGATGGCCATCATGTCCCCGGCCATATAGACATTGACATTGGGCCCCACAGCGACACCACCACACCGCACACCCAAGCAGCAACAACCACGGGGCCAGCAAAGCAAAGACAAAGAGCCAACAGGCAAATGGGCCAAGAAGCGTGCCACGACGAACTCTTGGGTCAGTGCCTTAACCCTATCGCGGATCAAGGAGGCACAACAAGCACTACATAATAAACAAAACTTTTTAAAAGAAATATATGTTACAAGGTAAAATATCTAACGTATTATTATGGGATCTAAAATCTTTATGTTATCTCAAAGCATGGAACCAACTTTGATCAGGAATAAAGACATCAGAAAATTGATAATTTACTGATTGGCACAATCATTTATTAATTTATTTAATTATCGAGATGCTACAGAAATCACCATGAATTTAAAAGTTCTGAGTATAATTTTGTATATATGACTACTAAATAAAACTAAAGATTTTTAATAAAATGCTTTTAATACTGAAAACTACGACGAGTTACGGAAACATTGTCAAATAACTGCGGTCAGCTAAAGTTTATATACCCTTGCAGTTTGCAATTGAACTATAGGATCGAATAGAAAATCGATCATAACTAAACTTAAAATATTCTTATTTTTTGAATAAATATTTTATAAATCTGTTCGACAAATTAAAATGTAAAAAAACTCATAACTAAGCCAAAAAAGTCATTAATAATAATTCGGAAAGCTTTTCCATGTTACTTTTTAGTGTGTTTATTAATCTACATACTCAATTAAAATTTAAAAAAAAATTGAAATTGTTCTAATGTTTAAAAATTTTGACGATGTAACCCCTTATAAAATATTGGAAAAATCTGAATTTTTTTTTTTTGCCGGAGAATGCTATATCAACTCGGCTGTTGATGTTGATCAAGAATATATACAATTTATGGGGTCAGGTATCAAAAATTATATACAATTTTTGATCTTAACCAATTGTATCCTTAATTGAAAGAGCCCTATCTATATTAAAATAAATCCCAAAATATTATATATTATATATACTTAAATAATACAATTTTTAGGCCAAGCTGGTACCTTAATCTTAAATCCAGACTAAGGGTTAAGAGCCCTATCTGCTTCTGAACCTATCTGGCTTTGTTAATTGATTGTTACATTCCCTCTTATGTGCTCGCGTGTGTGTGTGTGTTTATGTCTGGCCAGATCCCCCCCACACTCCACACCTCGATCCCCGCCAGCTGCGATGCAGACGTGTTGTTTTTTATGATTGCCCATTTTTGACAATGAATAAAAATTATTGTAGTGTCGCACGTTTTGGTGGCTGTAATTTAATTAAAATGATGTCGCGACGAACCCGCATCACGGTGTGCTGCTCCATGAGGGTTTTCCCGGAATTTCCCCGCGGCCCAAGCTCACGCAGCACAGGTGACAAATGTTGGTCAGTTTGGGAAAGTAACTAATTTAAAAGGCAGAGAGACCGGGGTTCGGATTCATAAAAATCCCAGCTGGTCGGTAGAAGGGATGTCCCGATGAAGAGTCAAAGTCAAACAAGGCACTTGAAAAGTCAGGACTTTTCCCCGAATATTTGCACGAGACTCTGGGAGAACGGAAGTGCGCAAATACAGCTGGATTTGTTTGGCAAATAGAATCGGAATAACATAGTTTTTCATTCAGCTAATGAAGCCCACTCTTGGCGGCCAGATGGCTGATGACTGAGGGTTGAGGGCCAGGGAAATGTGGAAGATGGGAGGCGGAGGAGGATGGACACCCAGGAAAAACTTGTGCGGCTTCTGTGCCGTGAGCCTGTGAACCTGTTTGTATTAAAAAAAAAGAAAAAAAGAGAGAGAGCGAAAAAACCCAACTGAAACCATGAATGAACTGCAACTTGGACGGGCATTGTCACTGTCAATATATAGAAATGCACTCAAGGTAACTTCCTACTTGCCTCGGCTCCGATTTCACTCCGACCCGACCGACAGATTATTGCAGCCCCCCCCCAAACTCCGCAACCCCCAGCCCCTATCGGCTTAACCGTCCAACCTTGTATTTAGCGGTCAGTCCAAGAAAAAAGAAAAAATAAACCAAACAGAAATAGCAAACAAAATGGCGAACTCGCACAACCTTAAGGGGAAGTATGAAGTCAATGGAGCTCTGGGGTTGCGGTGTGGGAACCATCAATATTGATTGATTGAGCACCAGTGCTCGGGGAGACCTCAACGATTGACAATTCAGAGGGAAAGCCTTCGTTGAGTCGATTTCAGCTGGACTTGAAATTATTAACTTAAAGAGGGAGAATCTAAGATCTAAATTAACTTAAAAGTTCATTTTGAATATTTTCATTATCAATAAAAAGATATAGTTTCATGAATTTCTAATGTTTATAAATATTTCTATACAAGACCCTTAAATGTTATATTTTACGAGTCCTTTACCATGAAGCTCAGAGAATTCCTTTCCAACTAAAAAATCTCTATAAATATAGAAATTTACAACCGTCAGTTGTGCATACTTAGTGTTTTTTACAGGACTCTAGTTCTCTCCCTTGAGACCTCAGATTGATGACAACATTTGTTGGGACAAGTACTAACTAGCGGTTTCACACACACTCAAAGGAGCCCCCGCCTGCCATCCCAATTAGCGGCTCCCCTCGCCGCCACAGCCCCTCCAGAAAGGCGGAAACAAATTATCGACACCTAAAAACAAAGCAACATCTTGGGGTCTCTTTGGGAATATCCACCAAGAAACGGGGATGGCGGACCCTCGGCGCAATGGGGAAATATTAATACAAATAATTAATTGTGTTAAGTAAACAATTTTCGTACTAAACGATGGGAGAACGAGGCTCTGGTTAGGGCAGCTATATAGCTTTACTTCCCACAGGTTTTGGGTTTCCGCAATCCAAAAATTGTCTTCGGTGTAATCCAATTCGGGAGCCCGGCGGAGAACGGAGGAGCTGCTTCGGTTCTTACGCTGGCTTGCCGGCCATGTTTGAATACGAGTCGCCAACATGTTTACATAAAACGGACTAGGTTTTCAATTTTATATATTTTTTGGATTTACAAAATTCTGCTGATTGGCCGGAAAACGGTAGCGCGGAATGTGTCGTTTTAGCAGGTAATTGGATCGTCCTAGTCCTCCGCAAACGGTCTGTAGCTGACAATCTGGCGGGCCACAATGTTGAGAATCTCCGGGCGCCATGTCCTGCGCTCGTCCACAATGGCCGTATTCTGGCCACTCCTTTATGTAGTTCTCCAGCTCCCGCTGGTTCAGAGCTCTCCGCTGTGGCTCCTTGGACTGGAGTGCCTGCAGGCACTGACCCGTCATGTGGGCCAGCTGAGATCGGGCGCCGCTAAAGGTCTCGTCGAGGTCGTACAGCTCCAGCGGTGGAGCCGGTGGCTCACTAAAGATTGGAGGAAACGTAGCCAGCTGGAGATTCGGTAGCGGGATCTCAAACTGTGGCTTGATGATCCTCAGTGGCTCGTACTTCACGTGCAACTTCTCATAAGCATCAATGACATCCTTTAGAAGATTGTTGCTCAGCGCACACAGATTCATGTCGAACATTTGCTTGAAGTCGGTGGGCATCTCCGATCCAATGGAGTCTATTAGACAGGCCTTGGGCATATCGGCCAGAAAAGCCAGATCCGTAAAGTGCTTATTGTCGCTGAGCTGTGCAAGAACAGATCATTAGAATTATGTATAAAAATAATTGTAGTCCCTTTACCACCTCCACATCATTAAAGTCCAAGTGAGTGTAGTTAATCTCGTCTCCATCGAGTAGCCTTAGCATATACTCCCAAATGGCGTCGTTGGTCTTGTCCTGAAGATATTTATCGTGCCAAATGTAGCCTGAACCTAGAGCCAGGATCTTTCCACCCTTTCCATTGGTATAGTAACCGCACAACGGACGATTGAAGGGATAGACCACTGGGCCTGTGGTCAGAAGGACATTCGCTGGCTCCGAGACGTTCAACGTGGCGCCGTACGGATATTGGAAATGTATCTTGTACTTCTCATCGGTAAAATCATAGTCCACTTTCTCGATATCCAGCTTGAGGAGATGCCGCCACATGGACTCGCATACAACGCCGCCACCCACAATGCACTCTTTGGGATGGAAATTCTTGTAGTATGAGGTCGCACACATTATCCCCATTGATGAAAATCCCGTACTGCTCCAGAAAGAAGTTCACATTGGTGTTGAACTCCGCCTCCCCACCTTCGCCAAGAAGGACCAGCAAACTGCCGCCTTGAACCTCAACATAATGTTTGAGGACCTCAATTCGTCCTCCGTGAAGCGGTCCTGGGGTCCTGCCAGCACAAAGACTTTTACCCGGGCCATCGCTCCTTTCTGAGTTCTGCATCGTTTCTGGAGTATGCAAATTATTGAATAGAAACGGTTAAACAGAAACAAAGTCTAGAACATATTGAAACTGCAAGTTGTTTATTATGTATTATGTTTGTTTATTATTTACATTGGTTAAAACCGAGAAGGTTTTAGTTCCATTAAAATGATAGAAAAACTTTATTTTACTTCTCTGATAACAAGATGGCTTATTATTCCAGAATATTTCCTAAATTCGTGGTTTAATTTAAATTAATTATTGCATACTGACTGTTCCACATTCCAGTTGACCTTGAGCTTGCGGTGCAGCATTTTGTAGTTGTCCAATATTTGAAATCTTTCATTTTTTGATATATCAAAACAGATTACCGGCTTGTTCGACATTTTTCTGCCTGCTTAAGTAAATATATTTTTTTGTATTTTTGTTTTGGTTTTTCCTGTTTCCGTTGCCCGGCAACTAAGTGGCGCCCTCTGGCGAGGATTTCCATATTCGCCACTCTACATTCGATAACGCGTTGTATAGCAAAATACATTTCGGAACAGTAGAAACAACCTGTCATCGATTAGGTAGAAATACCGACAAATTGATATAAAATTGTCTCTGTATTAATATATTGTCTGGTAAACAGCTGGAAATAAATGCAGCCATTTTAAACTGAATATTCTATTGGTATATTAATTAATGAAGTTATTTTGGTATTTTGCAGAAATAAATTATCGATAAATCCGCGTTTCAGCTGGTCACACTTCCTTAAATCTCGGTGTGTGAAAAATTACGAAAGAATTTTTGGTGTTCACTTTTAAGACCGACCGAAATTTTCGCAAAACGAACAATGGCATCGATCTGTGGACGCATGGCGCTTCGTGCCGCCGCACGCCAGAATGTTGCATACACGCCCGTGCGCTTCTGCAAAAGTAAGTGTGCCAAAACCAGGAGGGAAATCGCAGTGGAGCCGATTGCAAACCGTCACGTTCACCAACGTTGGCTGTCCAATTGGCGGCGACTGAAGGCTGGAATTGCATAATTTTGAAGTGGCTGCAGGGAAATATGAATCCTCCTGCTCGGGAGCGTCTGAGCAGCTGCAATTTTGGCGCAGGAAAAAGTCGATGTTGTGAAGAGTGCGAGGTTATGTAATAACTATGCGCAGGGAAATGTGTGCCGTGCAACTGAGAGGGGGGGAGCGGAGCGGCAGAGCTGCGGAGTTAGCACCTCCATGGGGCCTCGCCGAGATTCACAGCCTATGATGATGACCCAACCCATGACGCAGCTCCTACGTTTGGGGCGTCTGCTGTTTATGTAACCTGCTTGCCAATTGCCCAGCTGATGGCCCCCTGGCTTATCAATTTAAAAGCTAACTTCCTCATCTCTCCTTCGTTTTGCAGTGATGAACGATCCATTGGAGCACGCCACCGGTATCGAGAAGCGCGAGCTGCTGCTGAAGGCCGCCGGCAACGATAATCCCTTCGACATGAAGGTCTTCAAGAGGGGTGCCGGCACCAAGGAGAACCCCAACCTGATTCCATCAGCCTTCGATGCCCGTATTGTGGGCTGCATCTGTGAGTAGTCCTCGAAATCCTCCGCGGTCAAGATAAAAGCACAAGATGTACCAGTGACAGTGAACGTCCCGTGGTTTTGTTTGTTGTGATATTGTAAATAAAATAGTTAATTTCAACACCATTGTGTTTAAAAGACTTCGTCATCAGTGCTATTATTTCGACCCGAAATTCTATACAGCTTATCTTAAAACATACTTTAATATAATCTCCTTCATCCACAGGCGAAGAGGATCAGACCTACGTGCAATGGATGTGGCTGCAGAAGGGCAACCAGAAGCGTTGTGAGTGCGGCCACTGGTTCAAGCTGGTGGAGAAGGCAGCTGTTTAAAGTTATTATTAATTAATTCAATAAACCAATTAATAACAAAAACAACAACAACCACTACTAAGCTAAAAGTCAACCAATTTAGCTGTCCAAATAAACAAACATCAACCCAAAAAACAAAGAAAACGGGCGGCCGTATCTTCCATTTTTAGTTATGTCCTTATTTTCCACCGCAACAACTGCGGCGTGCTGGATGCTTAATTATACACGATACGTTTAAAATAAAGGCAACAAAGTGATTTCGAACTAATGCTACAACAACTATGAGTTCTTTGGGCCAATCCAAAACGAAGGAAAAGCCTGTCCAAAAATCGCAGTGGGTTTTAGGTTCACTTGAGATGAATGATAAAACTACATTGTTAAAAATAGTTTCTTGGATCGCAGTAGGCCTCTTTAACAAAGTCAGGCATTGTCAATCCTCTAAATCAGTCTTGCTTCATATATCTCATTGGGACACTATTTTTTCATTGACAAAAACCAACAAAATATCTACCGGTATAAAAAAAGATGTCATATTATATATCGCGCCTGCTGAAGGCGCAAGCCGCTTCCAAGCGGCTTATATCTAATTTGACCCAGCGCGAGGGCAAGCTCATTCCTTGTGGCGTCAACTTGGATTGCAGCAAAAGGGAGGATCAACTGCTACCAAACCGCGTGCCATATCCACTTCGCAGGTGCAAAAGTCGGGTAAGTGAGGGGTTGCAGAATACCAAAGATCTCTAGTTAAGCGCCCGTTCCCATCAATCAGTGTTGATTGATGACGATGAACTGGCGACAGGCATCCAGAAGCGCGAAATGGAGCTGGTCAAACAAGGCTGTGACGATCCCTGGGGCTTTAGGCAGATCATTAAGCGTGGCACTGGGAGAGAGAACGATCCAACTGTGATTCCCTCTGCATTCGACGCTCGTCTCGTCGGCTGCCTTTGCCTAGACGACCGTCAACCAAAGTGGATGTGGATCGAGAAGGACGAGGGTCCAAAGCGGTGCGAATGTGGACATTTCTTCGTGCTGAAGAACGTATCACCGGTCTACTAGATGTATCACACATAGAGCGCTGTACAAAGACATAGAACAAGCATCACTGCCACTCGACATACACTGGGACTCTACGATTGTTCCAAGTCACAATAGGGATTAAAAACATTGCATGATATTATCAAAACAAACGCTTACATGTAATTGGCAGTCTAACAACTATCTTAGCGTATATCCCGTTAGCAGGTACCCACTGTTTCCGCTCATGTTCACTTCCGGATGGGTGCGGTTCGGCAGGATTTGGTAGGTGCGCATCCAGTTTGAGGTAAGATGCAGCCCCGTCACCTTGCCGGAGGTCTTCAACTCCATGTACGTCTCCTGGAGCAGCTCCTTACAGGTGCTGAATACCACCACGGGTCGCGAGGGCTTGACGAGGGGCAGCAGGGCTTGCAAGATGCTGGACGGATGCTCCTTGGAGGCCACCACAAGGCTATCAAATTTGTTGTGCATTAGAGCAGTAGCTCGCTTGTTCTCCAAATGCCATCGTGGAGGGCCCCTATTTCCTGGAAAAAATACACAAGTTAGATTATTTAATTTTTCACAAATCTCCAAATTCAGAATCCCACAAACCTTCTCCTTTGCCACCTTTAAACTCGTCCAACTTGGGTTTCTTAGTACTCGGTTCGATCGCCTCCGGCTGATCTTCAGTGGGCGTCTCCGGCTGAATGCTTTGCTCCACAGGTTCTGTAGACTCTGTGACAGGATGGTTCGATTCTATCGCTTCACCTCCCTGGTAGAATTCTCTCAAAACCGAGTACAAATTTACAGACACACATCTGAGCTGCTGTTCCAGGGGAAGCTTCAGGCCAGAAGTGCCTGCTTTTGTGGCACATTGCCAGGATGCATGTGCACCAGGTTACCCTCCGTCCCCGCTCCAATGGAGTTCAGCATAGCGGCTGGCAGCAGGCCATTGGTGCCGCTCTCGTACAGCAGATAGTTCCCAAATCCGCAGACACCAGAGTAGGAGATGATCTGAGAGAGCGTGTCCACCCGAATGCCCATAATCTTCTCTGCATCTTGCCGGTAGAAGATGTCCACCATCAGTCGGATCGTTGGCTGCCGGATCTGGACAAACTCGAAGTACTTCTTCTCCTTCTTACGCAGGTACTTCTCCTGGGAGTACTCAGTGCGGGCGTGGAAGGTTTTCGAGTTCTCCACCAGCTTCTCAATGATCTTGCTGGACTCGTTGCACTCCTCGCGCAGTTGCTCGATGTCCGCTGACTTGAGGGTCTGTGCTTCTCCGTTGTCGCAGATATCGCGGTTATCCGCTCCACTGCTGGAGATCCCCAGGGCCTCCCGCGTGCTATTGAGCTCCGTTTCGCTGCACAGCTCCAGCGTATGTTGTCGCTGGGCTCCGCGCTTGCCGGCCTTCGTCTCCTTGACGCTCATCTTGAACGTGGACCCATAAGGCTGGTCCAGAAGCGACTTCAACTCCAGTGTCTCCTTGCCCAGAGTGGCTGTGGTGTCCAAGCTGCCGAATTTCTGCAGTTTGGTGTACTTCTGGCGCTGGATGACGATGTAGTCGCCCAACTGAATGCTGGGAGAGACCGTTTCAGTGGCCATTGTCGTCGATTTCAGTAATTAATATTGTAAACAACGTGTTTTTATTACAAAAACCAAAAGCCGCGAGGAAGACAAATTCAGTGTTGGAAAACGATCCATTACACCCTCACAAAGAGTATTATTATTTTAAGTAAATATTTTACATTCAATAATATATATATTATAATTACATTTAAAGTTTTACATTAAAAGCTTTGCTTTTTTTATATTTTAACGATCGGCAGCTATATAATATATTTGTCCGATTTTTATCCAATTCAAAACGATATTCTGAAAAAAATACAAAATGCGTATAACTCAAACCTGATGAAAATATGAGAAAAATAATAAAATTATATTTTTTAATTGTATTAATTATTCGATCGTTACAATGAAATTTAAAACTACATTTAGAGAAAATTCAAAATATTTATATTGATATTTTTAATTATATGAAAATCGGTTGAAAACTGGAAAAGTAATAATTTTTTTTCTGAAAATTCCAATCTAATTGTTCCAATGGCAGCTGTATGCTATATTATATACAAATATAATAGGGTTATACATAGTATTGATTATATTTTTGTATAAAAAAGAAAATAATTATATAAAATATCACTTTAAAATAATTAATGCATTTTATTTTCTACATGAGAATTCAAAATGTATCTGAAAACGTGTAAAATTGGTTTCTAACCGTGTAAAATGTAAAATGTTAAGTAACAGCGTGTGACCACAGAAAAAATATCGAAAAGTATAACAATAAAAATAGCAAAAAATATAACAATAAATATAGTTGATAATATATACTATATATATGTCTTTTTTTATAACCTTTGATTCTGTTGTAATCACGTCCGCGCAGTTCTTTGCCAGTGCAGCTTCTAATCTACCACGTGACGCTAATCCCGGTCGAGACCCGCATGGAGGGAAAATCCGCATGCCGAGTACCTGAAATTGGAGCCCCACGCCGCAGCTGAAATCAAACCTTGCCGCCCTCCTACCGGTTTGGCGTCCCCGCGCCAAGTAGCGAGAATAACTGACCGCGCAAGTTTTCGGATTTCAAGCATACGCCCCAATTACTGCTGTCGCCCGCATAACCAGAACCTGAAAGACATCCGAACCAGGCCCACAGCTGCATAACCATGAGGGACACGAAGTCGGAAAAGTCGCCGTTCATCAGCGGGCAGCCGGCCCCAGTGACGCTGAATCCTTCGTGGGAGTCCAAGCTGCCGCCGCACGACTCCAATGGCAAGGGATCCCTTGCGGGGTCGGTGATAGCCAAGCTCGGCCTGCCGGCGCCGAAGGACAAGTATCTCATCGTGTTTTTCATCTTCATGCTGCATGGCCTGGGTACACTGATGCCATGGAACATGTTCATTACCGCCAAGTCGTACTTCGAGGACTTTAAATTCGGGGCCAACAACACAGTGCCTACGGAGATGAACTATCGGACCAACTTCATGCAGAACATGGGCTTTGCCTCGCAGATTCCCAACGTACTGTTCAACTGGCTCAACATCTTCGTCAACTTTGGTGGGGACCTGACCCACCGGATTGTGTACAGCATCATCATCGAGATGGTCATCCTGGTGGTGACAATCGTGCTGGCCATGGTGGACTCGTCCGAGTGGCCGGGCCTCTTCTTCTGGATCACTATGGTGTGCATCGTCCTACTCAACATATGCAACGGCATCTACCAGAACACCATCTATGGCATTGTTGCCTCGCTGCCGATTAAGTACACTGGTGCCGTGGTGCTGGGCTCAAACATCTGTGGCTGCTTCACCACTGTGATGTCCATTCTGTGCGCCATGATATTCGACTCTAAGCGCACCGCTGCCATCTACTACTTTGTGGCCGCCATCCTGGTGCTGCTGGCCTGCTTTGATTCCTACTTCGCTTTGCCGCTGAACAAGTTCTTCCGGCATTACGAAACCATCAGCCAAAACAGTGAAAAGAAGACGGACTCCAAGCAGCAGCTGAATGTGCCCTACTGGGCGATCTTCAAGAAGGCCTCGCCGCAGCTGTTCAACATCTTCTTCACGTTCTTTGTGTCGCTGTCCGTGTTCCCGGCCATCCAGTCCAGTATACATCGATCGGATCCCGACTTCATCGTAAGCAATAACTATTACGTGTTGATCACGTGCTTCCTCACGTTCAACGTGTGCGCCATGCTAGGTAGCCTGACCACATCCTGGGTAAAGTGGCCTGGTCCAAAGTTCCTTTGGGTACCCGTGGTGCTGCGAGTGGTATTCATCCCTCTGTTCGTGTTCTGCAACTATGCCCCACCAGACACCACTCGTTCCTTGGCGGTGTACATCGACAACGATTGGATTTACTGGGGCATCGGCATCCTGATGGCTTACAGCTCCGGATATCTCAGCTCCCTGGGCATGATGTATGCCCCACAGACCGTGCATACCAAGTACCAGACAACTGCTGGTATGTACGCAGCTGCCATGCTGATTACGGGCATCTTCTCCGGAGTTATGTTCTCGTATCTGGGGCCCTGGTTGGTGGTATAGTCCGGTTGCATGTCACCACTAAGCAAGAAATACATAAAGAAGTCAAACAGTACAAAAAAGTACTATCACAAAAACGGCTGAGCCTGGAACCCCAGTGCACCCGAACGAAATGTGCCTTCGGCTTTTTTGAGTTCGAAGCATTCGTTCGAAACTTTCGAAGGAATGCTTTGAACTCGAAAAAGCCGAAGGCACTCTGGGGTTCAAGACATTTCGTTCGGGTGCACTGGGGTTCCAGGCTCAGCCGTTTTTGTGATAGTACTTTTTGTACTGTTTGACTTCGCTATGTATTTCTAGCTTAGTAATGTCACTAACACTCTTTCTCATATTACTGGGTATACCACATTATTTATTGTGCTACCCAAGGGATAGAGTTCCAAATAAGGGCATTATTCCCATTTTTCATTGTTCATTATTCGACATTATACTAATACACATTGAATTTATATTTTATTGGTTTCGTTTTAACCAATCATTTTGACAAACGTTTCATTTAATAAAGTTTTCAATTCTTATTTTAATAACATGAACTGCATTTATAAATTTAATCAACAAAATACCTCTTAACCATAAGAAAAAAGTGCCGACAAAAGAGAAAAAAAAACTGTGTATTGTCTGACAATTGGGTCCTAATTGATATACATATATCAATTAGACAGGGGTCTAACAAGTCAATGGAATATTTGGTTCGCTTTTATCACAGCTTCATCCTCGATCTGAATCATCGTGTTTACAGAACTGGCACAAATGTGGACACAAAACAAAATAAATAATTAGTCCCGTGCAGCCTCATTAACTGCAAGCCGAATATATTTCGGAAAAATAATAATGGTGGACTAAGTTTGGAGTAGTCGAAACTTTAAATACACTGTTTAAGATTAGGTAGGGTTTTAATCAAAATGTTTTAAATCAAAATTAAAGTCCTTGCTCAGTTCTATAATTCGTTAGCAAATCTTTTAAGGGGATATATTTTTTACATTTTACAATTTAAATTATATCTTTGCTCAAAATAAGTTGTTATATAAAGATATGTCCTTCTGTTTGTTGAAAATATTTTATAGCTTCTATAGATCGTCTTGCCAAATTTAAAGATAAACAAATTTGTTTATAATAGCAGGGGTATCAAAAGATTGGTTTGCCAAAAATGGAAAATTGATATTTTCTGTCTGGCGTTCTAGTATTTACAAAATCATTGCATCGAATTTAAAATTAAGGTTTATATTAATTTTTAAAGAATTTTTTGGCCTATAAAAAGTATATATATATGTATATAGATCAAATCTAAAAATTATACAAAATTAAAATTTATATTAAATAAAAACTGGACGAATTGTGGCGTTTAAAAGCGGACAATAATCGGACAGGCGTGTGGTTTTCCCACGGTAATTCATCACTTAACGTTCACATAGAATTCATTTTTATGGATTACTTTAAATTACGTTTCTTTTAAAAAGCTGTATACCCTCGGTTAAGTGTAAAATAAACAGTTATTCGGCGCAACTTTCCAACAACTGTTACAATATACTTTAGTTTAAACAAGACGCCAAAAAAATATAGGTAAACAAGAGATACCAGTCCAAACAACGCTATCTGCGACCGCACATAATTACCCTAGGGAGAAGCTACTAGCTAGCAGATAAATATATCACTTCCACTGGTTGTCAGTTGGGTGACAACAATAGCTATTTATGTACATGTCAAGGGGGCAAACTAGGAGCATAATCTCAAGGTGAGCTCTTATCAGCGCTCTGCGCGTTCGACAAGAAATACATAATCTTAAGCAGCTCACTGAACTTTGGCGACTCCCTTGGCTGGCGCTTCTCAAGGCCGGCGATCTGCTCGAGGGCCACCTCAACGTCCACCACATTGCAGAGGATCGATTGCAGACGCTTAGGGAACTTGCCTGCATATCCTTCCACCCGCTTGCGTGTCGTCTCTAGCATGTCCAGTTGATCCTTTGGGCTCACCTTGTGATAGCTGACCACCAGCGTTGTCAGCTGGGGCAAGCTATCGGCCAGCGGAAATCCATAATCCTGGGCATCGGATAGTCCCAGGCGCTCCAAGCGTTTACTGCCTTCCGCCTGCAGAATGGTCGCCTCAACGGGATGCCGGTTGCAGGTAAGATCCAGGTGCTTGAGCGGCAGGCGTTCCAGCAGCTCGGCCAGGTAGGATAGCTCTACGGAGCATTCAGGAGCCACCAACGACTCCAGTTTGGTCAGACTCACGATGTGCTTTCCGGTGATATAGGCACTGGAAACGCTCAAGCTGCGCAGCTGGCTGCAGCTCTTGGCAATCGTGTTTATCATACTGTTGTTCATACTCTCGTCCGCGATGCACAGCTCCCGCAGGTTGCTGTAGTCCCGGCGCAGGTAGAAGGCCAGTTCCGGTCTCATGAGGTGGCGACCCAGGTACGTGTCGAAGGCCTTCTTGTGCACGTTCCAAATGTACAGCTCCTCCATTGCCGCACTGGTTAGCTCAAAGAAGAAGACGTAATCCTCCTTGCTCAGGGGCTCCAGCATGGAATCGGATACGGACACCTTCCGGTACCGGGGTTTTCGCCACACAATCAGGCAGAGCAGCTCCTGGAACCTCGGCGCTAGCCGGGCCATCTTTATCTGTTCCACGAGGGGCAGGAACTCGAGTATGTAACACACACAGTCATCGTTAAGTGCTTCCATGGGTAAAATTAATAAGTATTTGTAAATTATTGTAACGTAAATATGTTTTCTTTTTTGCTATGTAATTAGTGTGACCCGACGTGGGTCGACAAAAAATACCGTTGAAACTAGGCACACTGGTCGTTAGAAGAAAACCATGTGGCAACGCTTGAAATCGATGTTTCAAAAAGACCGTTACATAAAATATGCACTTAGCGGGTACTTTAATTCTATAATTGTAACAAATATTTCTAATTAGTAAAAGTAAGAAGTAAGATTCATATATGAGAAGAGCATTAACGCTTAAATTATTAAAAAATAGGAATATCACAGCAACATATAAATATCATTGGTAGATAAGATAAAAAAATGGAAAAGTTGTTGCATAGTATATCGTGGATTATGACAAGATTATAGTTAACAGATATATTGCCTAGTAGAGAAACATTAATAAAATATTTATCCATTCAATAATTAGAACTAACTTGTTTTATTTCTAACCTGGTTAATTATTTCAAATCTCAAAGAGGTCAAATATAAATATATATATTCCATTATCTTAATCGATGATCCGATCCCAGCAGCACTGCATTAAGCTGCCTTGAAAATCATTCCATTGACAGTCCCTGCCGTCCAAAAAGCAGAATGGAAAAGTTTCAGGACATACCCCGCGGCCCGTTTCCTCTTGCATGCGTATCAATTAACATTTTGAGTGGGTTTCCATGTTGGACTGTCACTTTTATACGCATCATGCGGCATCGAATGCTCTCTCTCTCTATGCTATGTGGAGCCGAAAACCCCAAACCCAATTCCAATTCTCGACTGTCTGTTCGCTCCAGCCATGGCACAGGGCTCACATGATTTGTGCGTGACCATGCGAAATGTAAATTATTTATGTATTGTGCGTCCGTACATAAAGCATTATCCTGCGACTGTATTGAGTCCTATTCCGCTCTGACAGACGACAGGCTCCTCCGGAGTATGAATCGCCGTCTCAGCCTCGTATTCACAATAGCACAGAAATAGCCAACATGTTGGAGGAACCCTTGTCAGGACATCGGACAGCAATTGATTGGCATTAGCGGCCTCGGACTTGCCTTCTTCGAGTGTGTCCTGAATAACATATCGGGGCAAAAAGAAATAAAATTAAAGCAAAAACTTAAAATTTACATTTCAGCTATGGTAGGTGCCATAAATTGGTATCGATGCTGCTGAATTAGGTCACTGAACCCACATCATGTGTGCCGTAAGCTGACACCTCCCTTGATTACGTACCAAATCACACACTTTATTGTATATTTGAATATATAATTTTGTAAGTTGTACCTCTTATTTTTGTGCCTTCAACTTAAAAATTATTAATTTATAAAAAGAAAATCTGTATTTAGCCCATGGGCCACATATTTACTTAATAAGTAGATAGATAATACTTATATTACATCCATAGCCTTTAATATTATGCTCCTCTAATATTAAAGCTTAATTATACAGAATTTATAAATATTAAATCACACTTTCCTTTACTATTTTGTTAATTAAAGCTAAAACTTTAATCCAGTTCAGAAAATACGCTGCTTGTTTGATGGCCCAAATCCTAAGCTGCTTTATGTAATGTTTGAATGTTAAATTTGATACAACCGGAGGCTATTGTTTAAATTAGATAATGACCCAGAGTGACATACGTGAATCGCAGTGGGAAGCACACTTTAGCCGGTGGGCGGTCCAGTCCCTCCCTCATCGTCTCGGGTTTCCCGATTTAAGTGGCCAGCAATTTGCGCCGGACATATTCCTTGCTGTTGCGGCTCAATTAGAGCAGTCGGCCATGCCATCCGTACATTAAACCCTACTATATACTTTCATATTTGTTCCCGATAACCCTGCTTGTGTGGCAATTATACGCTTAGTGTGCAAAAATCGCTCCGATAAATTATTAGCTGCCAAAACGAGGGCTTTTAAAACTTGCCACCTTTTCGGCTCCGGTTCGTTTGTGGCAAAGGACAAAAGAAAAACGATGGGGGAAAGCGGCATCAAATATGCAACACTTTTTCTTGCTCAGCGCCTTGGCAAACAATTGGCCAATTAAGTCGAAAGTTTGCCTGCTTGAATCAGGGAAGGTCTCAGCCTGGCCAGAACCCCTTCGACCCCCTTAGCTTGGCTCGTGTCCAGTGGATCCCTTCCCCAAAACCAATGGTCATTGCATGCCAGTCGCACATTTTGTGGCCATTTGCGTGCCGCCTTTTAGCCGGCGGTCCGTGGCCAACAAAGGGGCGTAAAACTCTGGAGGCAAAGCGGGAAAAGCGGACTGCAACTCGTTACTTGTTTTATGCAGATTGCCAAACCGAACTTTTCCACGGTTTACATTTTTCGATTTTCATGCTCCTTCTTTTTGGCCGGCAGGACCGCAAAATCGCAGACAGGTTGGCATTGGGCATTGCCGCTTCAATGGAAGGAACTCTTTCGGGCACTTAGTGCAATATTTCATTTTTAATTCGGACCCCAGAGGTGTGGATTTGATTTAGTTGGTCAATAGACCAGGAAATTGATCGACATTTTTGCAGCTATAATGTAGGGAATTTCCCAGCTGGGGAATGGTGGGGAAAATGCACAATGCTTTACGTATTATGGGGCTGGGAATTGCTTGAAAGGTTTGAATTACGATTTGGGGCCATTTGTATAAGCTTTAACTGTTTCTTTACTGCTTTACTTAAAGTCAATGGTTCAGAATACACATTTAAATAGTTTAAAATATATTTGAAAGGTAATACTTTACTTCATTTGTTAACCCCTTTAAGATCCCCATAAATAAAACCACCATATTATTCAGTGTTCTGTTTATTCCTTCATTTATTATAGGGTTTTATCATTTTTCATGATTTTTCATAAACTTCCATTACTAAATGCCTGGCGAAATTATTGAACATCTCAGCTAATTAAGTCAATGTAGTTACATAATTAGTTTAAATTCATATTATTATATTGGTTAGCTGTGGTTTTTTTTAATTTTTATTTTTGCTTCATGGAAGAGAAGAAACTTGTTGGATCACAAAGGTTTTGTTTTCGCTATTCGGTCTGTTTGGTTGAAATACTTTCAAACGCTTTCTAACGAAAGAGGAGTAAAAACAAAGTATTCGAATTAAGTCAACCATTTAAAGCTTATTTACAATCAAGAACATAACTAACAACTTTGTTATCGATTTCGTTGGATTTTAGGCTAGGTCCATCCTTGCTGGAGATCTACTTAAGGAATTAATAGATTCTTTCATTTAGTTTACGGTAAGGCTGAAGACAGAGTATTAAAATTGTTTTATTGTTTAAGAGTAAAAGTTGTTTATAAAATATATATGTATCATATATCAAAGTATAGTTATTTAGTTATTCATAGGCGTATATTACAGTTTACCTTTTATACAGAGCCACTCGCCGGGTTCCCTCAAATTCCCCGGCGAGTTTCCATTTTTGAGCTAATAGTATTTTAACAGTACAGAGTTTGTTTTCTTTTTGAGTGTTTTTTGGTTTTAGTTTTTAGTTTTTAGTTTTGGGTTTTAGTATTTACTTGGTTGGTTTGTCAAAGGTCGTAACTAGAATAATGCAAACGTTTGATCCACTAATCGAACTAATCTACCATATCCCGTATGTGTATACATAATTATTCGATTTCTTGTATATATCGTTAGGTGTATATATTATATATGCTTGTATAGTTACGAAATGGTATTGAGTCAATTATTGAGTCATTATGTCGTATGTCGTGTGTCTTTGTATATATTGCAAATTTTCATTAATCATCTACTGCGCGTGGCTACAATTTTATAATTTGTATATGTATATATATATTTATTTATTTAGTTATTTCCGCATGTCTCTTTGGTAATTGGTCCTTAGTACACTACATAGAAAGCATTTAAGTATTCTGTTTCATTTTCTTTTTTTTTGCATTTGGTTTTTTGGTATCGTTTCGTTTTCACGCCATTCAAGTTTACCCCGGGACACAGCATCGCACTTATGGCTTCATCTCGGTGAGTCCAAAGGAACAATGGTCTCTCTCCATCCTAGTTCCCTTTTAAGGCAGACACCTTTCTCCTTTTATGCGGCGATGGGGAGTGGATTTCGAGAGCAGCAGATGGCCTTTTACAGACGACCTTTCTCTGGCTAAATATAAACGCCTTCCCACAGATACACACACATACACAGGTGTGGCGGCATAACACCTGGGCGAGTTAATTGTGGACAGGAAAACCTGCGGCTTAGCCAAACATTGGCATGCGTTTTGCCAGCGTCTAAAAACGCGACGTAAAAAGCTGAAACCGCCAGCGCGGCACATAAAAGTGTCAGGCAGACATAAATTTATGTTGGCTTGCAATTTTCCAACACCAATGCACACATCACTACAGCCTACCTTGCCTGGATCCCTGGAAATGGGTTACGTTGTAAGGACGAGTTTATATATATTTTGTGTAGCATACTACTCTGCGGCCAACGCGGCTTTATTATTAAAATTGCCCTGAAAGTTGAGGATGGGGGAAAAACTCTAGACCGCTGGGATTGCTATGGGGCTATAGAGGCCGTAACTGGATACACACGTTTATATTTAAATATATATAAATTTTAGCGAGCATTAAAGTACTGCTGCGTTGAACAGATTTTATGGCAAGATAAAGTTTCAAGACTATTGCCCACTTTGGAGTATCTCAAAGTATAAGGTTGTAGCTAGCTAGCAAATTGTACAAGAGAGTACAAATTAGGTCAGAGTATCTAAATTAAATTCAGACAAACAATTTCAGGTACTAGTTTTTACTTTACCTCGCTGTGTACCCTATCCCTTTAGGGGTATAATGGGCATCTGACACAGAATACCATGGATATCCACATCTCCTGGGAGAGACTGCTTTGCACAACCGTCATAATTAAGGGCCGCAAACTGTTGCTAATTAACTACCGCTCTCAAAAACTGTGCCATGCCAAAATATCTAATTAAAGCTAATCCTTTTCTGCACATTGCTTTGGGTCTGGAATGGGGATGGGGAAAAGAAGAGGTAACTTGTTCTAATTGAGATTTTTGCCAACTGTGCGATGCCGTGTCCTTTTGCGCCATGGAGCTTCCCTTTGCTTCCTGCTCCCGTAATTCTGTAATTCGAGCATTGTTTTTCATACCATTTTTTTTTAATGTTTAATGTGTATCGCAGCTATTTTTGACCTTTTCTCAGTTGTGTTTATACTTTAATCCTGGCTTAATCAACTATATATATTTTTTTTGGGTTTTCGGATTCGGATTAACTCTACTGTCACTACACTCGTTTGGAATTGTTTTTCATTTGGGTTGCCTTCGGTGCGAAGTAATGGCAATAGAAATGAACGAAAAAGTCACAAAATTTAACTATTTAATATTTTAAATATTATTGCGCTACTTACATGCAGTTAAACTAATTAATTGGTTTGTTTGATTTATAATTTCAGTAAGTTTGTATTTCCATCTTTTGTCCTTCCCTTGTTCATTTAATTTTACTTTGGCCATTTGGTTTCTGTGTTGTGTGTTCGATGACTGAAAATTCAATTATTTCAGCATTTTTATTCGAAAGTATTTTGTTGCTTGTTTGTTTGCTCATTTTCATTGTGTTTCAATTATTTATGCTTTATTTATTGCCGTGCGTTTTTATATCGCTTGATTTAATTAAACTTTTCTGCAAAACGAATTCCTTTCTCTTCAGCTGATGTCCATTCTCAGTTTTATTCGGTTTTCTGTCCGGCAGTAAACTTTACGGTCCAATTTACGAGTAAAGAAAATAAAATTAAGAGCGTAATTTAATCTATCCAAACAATGACTGAATTGAATTCAAATTCAATGCATTTTTAATCTTGGAATAAGTTCAGTTCACGAATTCTCGCCTCAATCAATAGTTCTGTAAGAACTCAATTACAAGCAAAGTCCATAAATTCGCTACCAATTTATGGGCCGCTTTCCGCCCTTGTGAGCCATTACACATTTTTTGGGGGAAACTTTACCCTGGCAAATGATAAAAACATTTCGACTATCAGAAAATGTCATTTAGAATGCCGTCAGATTTGATTTATGCTGGTCATTTCCGGGCAAAAACCTCAACCTCAGCTGGCTCACGTGTACCATTTTCTATAAATTTGTTTTTCAATTTCATTTCTGTTTGTTTGTTCATTGGAAATTTATGCAAAAAATGCATAAATTATAACGATATGGAAAAAAATGTGAGAGGGAATAAGTTGAATACGGAACAGTCGAAGTCTGGAATACTCTAGTGGTACAATATAAACATTCCTGAATTTAATTAAAAAGAAATTTGTAAAATAATACTCAGCTTTGCTTTAGCTTTAAAGGCTCATTGAAAACAAAGTAGAAAAAATATGAAATTAAAGGGATATTGCCTAGAAAGGACTGGTGGTAGCAAAGTCTTTGCTGAAGTTGTAAAACCTTTTTACGAGAGTATTGAAAATGTCACACCTGTCGGCGGAGAAAAGCCGCATGTGTAAATTTTTATTGCCTACCTTTGTGCGCGCTCTCACGCGCGCTCTCTCTTATTCCCTCTGCCTTTTCTCTCTCGCTGTCGTTGTGCTTGTGTGTGTGTGTATGTTTGTGCCTGTGTGAGTTATGTTTTCACAACCATGTTGATTTTGTTCGCTTTCGTCTGCACACATACACATATACATATACATACGTACATTTATTTGTTTATGCTGCTTTTTGTCCACACTTAGTTGGCATTTCGTTTCGCACTGCGGCTCCTGCTGCTGCCGCTGCTTCTGTTGCTGTTTTGCTTATTAATTTTACACCAAATGCCATTTAACTTAGTTGCTTGTTGTTGCCATTTAACATTTTTCTTTTCCTGTGTGTGTGTTGTTGTTATTGTGGGTGTGCCGATGATAAATCACATTTAATGCAATTCACAAAACCATTTCGTTCGCACGTTCCAGTTGAAGTTAGCGACATTTTATACTTTTTTTCCGTTTCCTATCAGAAATATGCTGTTTTTAGTTATATTTGTTGGTGATTCCATAATTTATGCTTATTGCTGCTGCATATCACCGCCACTCCCCAGGCCAGCTTTCGTTTCCGGTGGCACCTGTTGTTTTGGGAAATTATACAACAAAATAAACACCATTACTTTATCACATTGAATTCAATTATCTTTTACACTGATTGACAGACAAGGCACAGAGTAAGAGTAAGAGTTAAGAGATAGTGAAACTGGATAGGATACTTTTGTTTGGAAGGATAGCAGTTGTACATGTAATATAGTAAGCACAATCAAGGCATAAGCAAACATTTAGGTAAAGTAGAAAGTCTATGTTCGTGTGGGTAGTGTGTGTTTGTGTGTGTGTATAATGTGAGTGTGTTTGTTTAGCCTGCTTAAAAGGAAAATACATCGAGCCACAAAAAGTCCCAATAAAAGACTCGCACACGCAGCACACACCAAAAAGATACATATGTAGGACAGCCAAAACAATTTGTTTGAATCAAACAAAGGATCAACGGGAATTCAGGACAAAAGAAAAGAAAAACTAAAAATATACACACATCTATGTATATGTATATCCAAGGCGAAACAACTTTCGGAATAATAATGGGAAAGATGTTGGAACTCATAACGAAAACTTGCAGCAGACAAGAGCCAAAAATAATCCAGGGAAGACCCAAACGAAAACTAAAATAAACACAAGTAAGTTCAACTGGAAGCCGCAATATATCCCCGGGAAAAAAGCCAACGAACCAACACAGCAAACACATACGATTATTATGACTGGGGACAGGGACCGAAAATGAAGTTTTTGGCTGGTAAGCTTATATTAAGCCTAAAGTGTAACCAATGTAATTCGGATTCAACGCGTGTAATATTAAATTAAAATAACACCTAGAAAGCTTGTCGCGGTAACTTAAAGCTTAAACGAGATAACTATTCGGATAGGAAGGGAAGGGTGAAACTAAATGTTAACACAGAGTATAAAATATATATTGAAAAGTTGGTAGAAATAAAGGTAGAACAAATCAATATATATATATTGTGTCGATATTTGCAGCGAATTCAGAATGATCGATGTTTAAGATGTTTAGAGAATTTTCCAAAGCTTTAACATAGTTTAAAATATAATTGTTTAACATATATGTTATATATAAACGAAATCAACAATTAGCATCCAAATAAGTATGAAATTTCATGGACTGTTTTTATTTCGATAAATACGACCTAAAATTCGATATTTCTTTATATTTCAAATAAATAAAAACATAAAAGGAAACTTCGGAAAGTCAGTTTTCAATAGAACTATAGAATCGAATCGATTATAATTAAGCTTAAAATATTCGCATTTTTTAAACGATATTAATGAATATATATATTTGAAATTTTTTTGCCATAAATCCAAGTTTAAAAAACTCATAACTAAGCCAAAAAAGCATTAATTTCAATTCGGAAAGCTTTCCTATGTTGATTTCTTAGGTTAATAAACCTGCAAACTCAATTTAAAAATTAACAATATTAAAATTTTTATAAATTGTTTAATATTTTGACGATGTAACTCTTTATAAAATTTTCTAAATTTAAAAACATTTTATTTTTCACCGGAGATGGCTTTATCGATTCTGCTATCGATGCTGATCAAGAAAATAAATGATTTATAGGGTCGGAAATGACTCCTTCACAGTGTTACAAGCTTCTGACTAAAGTTTTAATATCCTGCAAGGATATTAATAAAAGGATCGTTTCAACAATTTTCTTTCTATAGTTTTTCCATAAATTCGATACTTAAACGTAAATGATTCTATACTTAAAATTAAGCAATAGTTTTTTTCTTTATATCATATAAAATACTTATCCCTACTGGGAGCAACAGTAGGTAATGCCTTTTAATTTATAATGATTTTACTACGCATGCTGACACAAAATTGAGCACTCTTTTTCAGGTTTTGAAAAGGAACAAATAAATAGTTGTTCAATAAAAAAATAAAATTATGATAGCGCCAGATGTAAAGTTGTTTATAATCACAAAACATCTACAAATATCTTAACACTTAATATTTTGTGACAGAAAGTACATAGTATTCGGTCCCCATCCAAAATTGACAACATGACATTGAAACAGCGAATAAATTGGCAAACAGATTTAGAGAGAACCTTCAACAAATGACAACATCGACAATGATATAACGACAATTAATTATTAACCATTCGAAAGCAATTGGGAAATTCGACGGTTCGATGGAGGACAACTGGCAACGCCGACAGTACCTACTATCTGGAGAATGCGGGAATGGAACCAAACTTAGCGGCCATAGAAACTATGAAAGTCCAGGAAATCCATGGAATCTGTTTGATTTTGTTGTTGCTGATCGATCTATATACGAGGGAAGGGGGGCGGTGAACAAGAACGTAACCACAAAAAAAAAATACAATCGAAAACAAATAACAATTGTTGTGGAATGTTTTGGCGGTGAGTTGGTATATATTTTTTGTATATATTTGGAGAGCAGGAGAAACAGAGAGATATTTATATATATAATTGTGGTAGGAGAGTGGAATATAATACAAAATATTGGCCCAAGATTCAGAGTCACTTCACTTACCAGTTTCTTGAAGCAATCCTCGAAAAAGGCAGTCATCGAGCGGTACAAATGTCGCTTGACCCCCGATAAACTATGACCCTCATCCGGATATATCTGTTGCTTATAGAGGACTCCCTTGCTGGTCAGTGATCTGGCCAGTACCATAGATTGCTGCACATGTACGTTGTCATCGGCAGTGCCATGGACGAGCAGGAACTGGCGATCCCTTAGATTATCCACATACTTGGACAGATCGCTCTCCTCGTAACCCTTGTAGTTATCCGTCACATTGGGGAAGCTCAGATAGCGTTCGGCATAGGTGGAATCTGCAATTAAATAAAAATTAAATAAATAAAGGAACGAAAAACAATCTAAAATGTTTTAGTAGAGAAAACCATTAACACTAACTCACCATATAGCTTCCAATTGGTCACCGGTGACACACTTATTCCGCACTGGAATATCGACTGTTGGCCAGCCAGGGCCAATGCAGCTGTGTATCCGCCATAACTCCATCCCCAGACTCCCATCCTTCGAGAGTCGATAAAGTGCAGGTTATCCCTGAGGTACTCACTGACCTCCAATTGATCGGACACCTCAACGCTGCCCAAGCGCTTGTAGACCTCATGGAGTAGCTGGTAACCCTGTCCCGCGGATCCTCGTCCATCGATTTCCACCACAATATAGTCCTTGCTGCCCGCCAGATAGGTGTTCCAATCGACATGCCAACGATCGGTGACCAGCTGAGAGCCGGGTCCCGAGTAAACGTGCAAAATGGTGGGATATCGCGTGATCTCATCCTCGCGCAGAACAGGCGGAAGGTAGAGCCGCACCTGGGCATGATATCCTCCGGAGATCATCACGGGGAAGGTCTTCACCTGCGGCATGGCTGTCTTGGCCATTTTCTCCTTTAACCGAGTGTTATTCTGCACGGTGACCAGGAGTTCCAGGAACTGTGACTTGGATTCCTCCGACATCTTCTGCTCGCCGCCATCCGTGGGAGGTTCTTCTTGCTGTGTGCTCTGCCTCTTCACCTTGGCAATAGTGGAGAATTTCAGGCCGTAGATAATGGAGGTGGGTACCACAGGACCCAGGCAATCGACCAGGACATATTTAGCTCTTCGAGAGGGCGGAAACTGGGCCTCATGGTACAGGCAATCGCTTGGAGGCGGTGGCAAAGGAGCACTTTGACCCCTTCCCGGTCGCTGCTGCTCCACTGGCAACGCAGGTTGCGGCGGTGGCTGAGCTTCTGTCTCCTCGGAGTCCTCCCAGTCATCGTCCCAGGCAGTCACCAGCTTCGGTGGTGACTTGGTATGACCTTCCTCATAGCCTCGGCTTGCTGCGTCAGTGCGGGACACGTCAGGCAGTCTGGTGGCTGCAATGCTTGTCCTTGACGGGCCGGCAGGGCGGATACGCGATATAGATGCTGCTGCGAGGGCAGGCGCTCTGGAGTGCCAAGGAAGTAGCTGGAATTATCAAAAGTTCAATAAATTAAGGTGTAGTTCTATTGATTAACATGTTAACAGGATTATATATAGCATGATTTACTTTAACAGAGAGAAGAAAAGCCATTAAGGTTTATGTTGCTCTCTAAAATTAATAAGTAATAAGTATCAATGAACATTAAGAACTTAGATCCTTAAGTAACTATGATCATTAAATAACATTAATCACCAATCAACTAAGAGCAGTTAGTAACTCTGAACAGTAACCAGTAAGTAACTACAGTCAATAAGTATGTATGATCAGCTACTAACTTTGAACACTAATAAACAATGACTTGCAACTTTTGTAACACAACACATTTCTGATACTTGGCCGGCAGCAGCCACTTCGTTCCGAGGATGTTAGAACAAGTTGAGAATCATAAGCACAGATGTGTGAGAGGTGTTTTTTGATCAGTAAGTAACTATAATCAGTAATTAACTATGATCAGCAATTAAGTATGATACGTAATTAGCTAAGAGCAGTAAGTAACTCTGAACAGTAAGTATCAATGAGGATTAAGTAATTATGATCAGTGAGTATCTATGGCCATTAAGTAACTATAATCAATAAGTATCTATGAACAGTGTGTATGATCAGTTTCTAACTTTGAACACTGATAAACAATGACTTGCAACTTTTGTAACAACACATTTCTGATACTCGGCCGGCAGAAGTCACTTCGTTCCGAGGATGTTAGAACCAGTTGGGAATCATAAGCACAGATGTGCGTGATTTGTTTTGGAACAAATTTAAGCTATTTGAATGAAACTATAGAGTTATTCTTCTATATAATTTTACTAATATATAAGTCGGAGCATGGTGAATCGGTGGACTATATATTTAAATATATATAGCTAACATAGGAACGATCGGAAAACTTTACCAAATAAAATTATAACTTTTCTAGATTTCAACAGATTTTTATCAAATTTAAGATATATCCTTTTTATATTATTCTGCAATTTTGTTTAAAATTTAATGAAAATCGGACTACTATATCATATAGCAGCCATACAAAGCAGGAACTACTTTGTTGTTTTTTTAACATAAATTTATATAATTTGTATTTTATTAGTTCCTAGTAATTGGATTTTAATCTGCAAAGTTAGTTTTTTTCTTGTTCCTTTTACAATGAATCAATGTATCAGACTTATACGTAAAACTTCCTTTTCGAGCTTGGAAATATACATAATTCACAATTTCAATAACTGTGCAACAGCTTATGGGTAGCTTCATTTCGGATAAACATTTTCCACTGCTCGAAACGGAAGTGAAACCCGGTTGCGTGTGTGCCCCATCACTTACATCCAATTATCCAGTTGATCCCAGTGCAACAATCGATTCACCTCGTACGGGCCATGGGTGAGGGCAGCACCCTGTTATTGTCGATGTCCACGTGCACGATGTGCCGGAAATAGCCTGCGATTAAGAGGTATTGGTTGGAGAGGAAGAGCGAGAGAGCGAGAAGGATTCTGTGTCACTCTGTGGAACAAAGGCCAATTTGACGATTCAATGACTTACCAAACAGACCGTCTCGCAGCGGGGAGATGGCCACATAGAGGCTGGCATTGGCTGCAAACAGAGGCACAGCAACAGTGTCCACCCAGCCGCGTCCATCGCCGCTCACCCGGTGGGTCTGCAAAACCAACGGATGGGATTCATTAGCAGATTGCTGGCTCCGTTGACTAATTGGACTCACCTCGATGCACTCGAAGGCGGGAGCCTTGCACACACTGACCACGGAGATGTTCTGGGGACGATTCAGCCAAACGACGGCGATCTTTGAGTGACTTACCCAACTGGCGCTGCTAAAGTAGTGATCTCTGTGTGAAGAAGGAACAACAAAGGTTAGGAGAAGTTTTAATTAACTTAGAAACTTGTTTTCCATATAATATTATTAATTATTATAATGACTTACTCGTGAGCTAGTATCTGAGGTGGTCGCAGGTCGGTGATGCGAACCTTTTGCGGATCCTTTAGATCCGCAACCCGCAAGGTCACTGTGGGATTCTGAGTGCCCGGCTTTGGATACCTGCAAAAGAAAAACAAACAAAAAGAGCTAGATTAAACCTTAATTCACCTTTAGCTTCATTCATTATTTGTCGACTTTGGACCTAAAACCCAAAGCTGCCAAGTTGGACCGCCTTCTCTTTTCGGACGCCTCCTTTAGCAATTTATCAAACCCAATTGACAGGGGATCAACCTGTATGGATCCCACACTTAGTTAATACATCTAAGGCTGCTAAGGCCTTTTGTCTTATGCTGCCCGGTAACTAATTTCCAAGCCCTTGCCCCGTGTGTCAGCCAAGTCGGATGGAAGGGATTACGGCTACGGAATAGGTTTGAATCCACTGCCTGAATTCATTTACAACAAAAAGGTTACCCCTACTGTCACTTCATGAATTTTAAGCGTGACGCTAGGAACCCATTAGAACTAACGACGGCCACGAGAGAGAGCGAGAGATGAGGCATCATTAACACATAATCGAAAAGCGATATAGCCCAAGTCTCCCTCGTAATGGGGTCACGACTTACCGTAAGGACCTGATTTCCGGGTATAGGTTGGCATGCGGATTACTGCTGCCCGCTGAGGCGCCACTTCCTCCCGTTCCACCGCCAGTTCCACCTCCTGTTGCCGCCGCTGCCGCTGCAGCTGCAGCCGCTCCGCCGGATGAACCAGTCGTGCCATACCAGGCAAAGTGCTGCTCCTGGACGTGCGTATCGTTGAAGGTGGCATACAACATCAGTTGTCCGTTGTCCGACATCCAAATCGCATTATTTGCATGGAGAATTTCCTCTGTGAAAATGCGAAACAGAACGGAAAATGGCAAATAAGTGGTAGTTGAGTATAATATCGTTAGTTGGGTGATGTAAGGATTAAATTAAATGTAGTTAGTTTTCACTTTACAAATGACTACACAATGGAGTGAAGTATTTTTCGGGAAAGAAAAGAGATTGTATCTCACAGTAATAATATAAAATTATTCAAGACCGTTTGTTGAATAGTGTTATTGAAACTTAAATTGACCATTATTTTAAGAGCTATCTGAAAACATAGTTACAGAGTTCAAGAGTTTTTAAAATATTAGTGTACAATAGTTTTCAATTCATAATGAAATTGCAGCCTATATTAATATAAATATTCAAAAGAACCTACAAATTAAAGTTGATCAAAAATCACGTATACGACTTGGTGTACTTGAACTTAGCGTGAATTTAGAGTTAGAAATAATAATTTTAAAAATTTTCTTAATTATAAATAATTTTTGATGACAGAACATCAATATCAATCCTCAAAAGAAACTAAAAATTAAAGTAGATCACGTATACGACTAGGTGTACTTGAATTTGATTTAAAAAAATAAATTTAAAACTAGTTTCTTAGCTAAAAAATTATTGTAAGTGAAAAAGCAACAATTAAATACAATTTTGTGGTATAAAAAATGATTATGAAAAAATCGTTTAAGGAAAATAAACACCTTTAAATGCATATTTTAATCGTGCATCAAAAGGTAGTTCAAAATCACTTATACGACTAGGTGAACTTGAACTTAGAATGAAGAGTTAGAAATATTAATTAATTAATTAAATCATTAATTAATTAAAAATTTTCTAAATTATAAAATAATTGTAAGCGAAGAACATATAAACATATGTTTAAAAGAAAAATTACGTATACGACGAGGAGTACTTAAACATGAACTAGAATAATTAATTTTATTTTTTGTATATATAAAATAATTGTACATGAAATAAGCAACAATTAAATATAAAGCAGCAATTAATATAAAATTAATTAAGACAAACCACACAAAGGAAATAAACAGCTTTGAATGTATCTTATAATCAAGCATCAAAAAGTAGTACAGAAATCACGTATACGACTAGGGGGACTTGAACTTGTTTAAGAGAAAAAATTTCATATTTTCTGAAAAACATTTGAAAATGAAAAAATGAAAAAATGAAAAAAAAAACAGATATTAAATGTTATTGTTTTAATATAAAATCATAATGAAAAAGCATTTTAAAGCAAATAAACTCTTTTGAATGTATCTTAGAATCGAGAATTTAAAAGTTGTTCAAAATCACGTATACGACTAGGTGTACTTTAACTTGATTTAGAACAAGAAAGGAAGCTAACTTCGGCACGCCGAAGTTATATACCCTTGCAGATAGAACTTCTATGAATAGGAATCCATACAATATAAATTATATATATTTGTGTTAAAAACAATGAAGTAATACCTGCTTTCATTTCATTCACCTATACATATTATATTTGCAGTTTTACATTCACAGATTTGCATTTTTCCTCTACATCAAACGATCGTTTGTATGGCACCTATATGATATAGTCGTCCGATTTTTATGAAATTTACCACAAAATTTAAGACTTATATAAAATGGCTATACCTCAATTTTATGAAATCAGCTGAAAACTAAAAAAGTTATAAATTTAATTGTATTAATTTCTCGATCGTTCCTATGGGAGCTATATGATATAGTAGTCCGATTTTCATAAAATTTTACACAAAATTTTAGAATAATATGAAATGGCTATATTTCAAATTTGATTAAATTCTGTTGAAAACTAAAAATGTTATCGCCACCGCGATTGTCAGTCTTCCGACAACAGCCACCGCATTCTCATTCCTCTCAAATTTCTCGATCGTTCCTATGGGAGTATATGATATATTAGTCGATTTTCATAAAATTTTACACAAATTGTAGAATAATATAAACGGCTTTATCTCAAATTTGATGAAATCTGTTGAAAACTGAAAATGTTATACTTATAATTGAATTAATTTCTCGATCGTTCCTATGGAGCTATATGATATAGCCGTCCGATTTTCATAAAATTTTACACAAAATTATAGAATAGTATGAAATGGCTATATCTTAAATTTGATCAAATCAGTTGAAAACTAAAAATTTATAATTTTTTTTGTAAAACTTTTCCGATCATTCCTATGACAGCTATATGATAAGTCGTCCGATCCGGCCCGTTCCGACATATATACGAGTGAGAGTATATAGAAGACTAACTGCAAAGTTTCATTTAGATAGCTTCAAAACTGAGAGACTAGTTTGCGTAGAAACGGACAGACGGACAGACGGACAGACGGACAGACGGACAGACGGACAGACGGACATGGCTAGATCGACTCGGCTGTTGATCCTGATCAAGAATATATACTTTATATAGTCGGAGGTGCCTCCTTCACT